CCCCCACCCCCCGAGATCAAGCCCAAAACCTGGGCGTGGAATCGAACCAGAGACCTCTCAGTGCCTGGGACGATGCTCACCCAACCGAGCCACACAGGCCAGGGAAGAGCATGGGTTTTGTTTTGTTTTGTTTTTATCCATAAATGGAACTTTTTTTTTAAGCTGGTTATCACACTCAATTCTGAGAATCTGAAATTTAAAAAGGAATAACACAACATAGACAAGTAAAAATCAGATCATTATGCAAAACATTGATTTTACGTTTCTCTACCTTTTCTAATCCTTTGATTTCAGACAGTACAGTCATGCCTAAAGGAAAATTTTCAAAGTATATTGGCTTAGAGCAGAGATTTTCAACCTTTTTCATCTCATGGCACAAAAACTAATACTAAAATTCTGCAGCACACCAAAAAATATATTTTTGCTGACCTGACAAAAAAAATAGGTATAGTTTTTCTTTAGTCCTCACCCAATTATATATTTTTTATCAATTTCAGAAAGGAAAGAAAAAAGAGAGAGACACAGAGAGAAAGAGAGGAGAGAGAGAAACATCAATGTGAGGAAGAAACTGATCAGTTGCCTCCCGTATGCACCCCAACCAGAGACCGAACCCACAACCTACCTAGGTTGTGCCCTGACCGGGAATCGAAACCTCAAACCCTGGACCCTTTGGTGTACAGGACGACACTCCAACCAACTGAGCCACATAGCCAGAACAAAATAGATATAATTTTGATTCATTCACACTGAACGGCTATTGTTGGCTGTTGTCATGCTTTAATTTGACAATGTAAGGGAAAAGAGGTCAGTGCCCCTGACTAAATAGTCAGGTATTATATGTTTTAAAAATTCTTGCGGCACACCAGTGTGCTAGAGAAAAGAGTTATAAGTGCTTCTCTGTGATTATTATTTGTTAGGTAATATATAGCACAGCTACCTCTAGATCAATTACAGTGTGAAAGCACAGATAACTGAAGTGCACAGATTATTCTGAATCTTTCTTTATTGTAAACTTGTGTTGAAGGTTCTTCTGCTATCAAATCTTTTACCAAGGCTTCTAACAAGGAGCAGCTTTATAAATTTGAATTTCATCTATTGACCATACACACCTTCTCTGGCAGGAGGTTGTGAGCAGAGAACTGGCTAAATGATATCAGAGCAGAGAACACAGAAAACATCACAGTTTCTGATAGTTCAACAAATTATTTGATTTCAGTCACTGAAGATTGAGAGGCAAATGAATACATGTTGCTTGAGACAAATGACTTTTCCTTGTTATTTTGTGCTGGGTGATGACAGTTACTTTTCTTTAACAATCACCATATTCCTTTTATGTTCTTGGGATCCTGGATTTGGAAGCAACATCAGAAGTTCATTATGTTTCATTTCCCACATTCTGACAGAATTATACCTAAACTGTCCAAGCTGGATGGTTGTCTGTTTTGTTCTTTGCTTGGAGGATGGTCATTGGTACCTGATGGAAAGCAGTTGGTTGGCAAGCTGCTTATGCATGTTATAGTTTTGATAATACAAGTGGGGCAAAAGGAGGTTTACAGTTGTTCATATGGAAAATAGCACAATAATTAATAAATAATAAAACAAGAATAAACTCGGTTTTGCATACTCACAACTGTAAACCTACTTTTGACTCACCCTGTAGTTATTTGTCCACTTAGCAGTAGCATAGAGCATGCACACATAGATGAACGTGATTAGTTAGCAATATGATGTTCTAAAATGCAAACGATGAAAATACATGGGAAGAAAGGACAATTGCCTTTGGAAAACAATATGTTTCATCTATCAGAGATTTGTCATCAAATGTGTAGCACAGAGTTGGCCCATCATAAATCTTTGCAAAAGTTAAAAACAAAACAAAACAAATAGCTAGAGAAATAATGTTGTTTAGGAGGAGAGCGGGTAACTGTTCTTTCCTTTGTGTGTTCCCAGAGTTACTTTCACCTATGGTTGCTGTGTGAGAAAAGAGTTCCAGAATCAAATAAGTTTGGAAAATACTGGATCTTTCTATCTCCTTTTTGGAGTTGTGATATATATTAGCACATTAAGCATTTTGAGAAGACACCTGTCTATATCTGATAAAATCAGTATTTCCTAAGTCTATTTGCACAAAACCTACTAGCCACTCATACTTTAGGAAATACTGCTCTTTAGGGTTAATTGTTCACCTTTTTTGCCTGAGAGAATGACCATGTCTTACTCATTTTTGTATGTACATTCTATATGCTAACTAGTACACATAGGTACAGTACAGACTTATGCAGGTAAAATGAAAATGGCCTGCATAGGGTTGGGTAAAAGGACACCAACACTGACCAAGAAAGCTGAGTAGGGGAGCTGTGTCATGAATATGAAGATGAACAGTGTCACGGTTGGAATCAGAATGAAAGAGAGTGGTAAAACAGACAGTAGGTGCTGAATGCAAAGTACCTGTTTTTAATCTACGTGTAGGACTGGAGCTTCTGACACTGCTATTGAAAACCCTCGGTCCATCTTCCTTGATAATTACAATGTCTCTCTTAAATCATCTATGTTATCAAGCCTTTACAGACAGAGTAAGCACTGACCACCAAGGTTGTACCTCACTCATACCTAATGCTTATTATCAAACTGTTATAGATATTTCATTCTTAAAACTTCAGGCAAGTGATTATTTGGAAATAAAATATTCATTGGAAAAACTATCTGGAAGCTACACATCATTGCATTTGGGAACTTTAAGTAGTGCTTTGCTCTCCCGCCTTACTGCTGTCTTACTGCACCTTGATGTGTCAGGGTAGTGTTGCCAAGGATTGACAAAGAGTGAAACCCCAGGAGACCCTGCATATGAAACTACAAACAAATAAGGGAGCACCTAATAATAAACACAGGCGAAAGAATCTAATACCCCTGGAAAGTTTGATATCCAAGAGAAATGCTATTAGAAAGTCTGTTTCCTACAGGTCTGAATGTGTGCCTTTCATTGGCCGCTTTAAGATTTGCTCCCACTGGTCGTAGGAAATTGAAACTAGATAGAAATCAGCAGTGTTTCTGGTGCCTTGTGTTGGCATTATACACATTGTTAACAAAATATTACATCTCATATCCAAAGACAGCAATATCTTTGAAATTATTCATTTTGACCACATTTACTTGAAAAATGGCATTTAGCTTTCAAAGTTATGGGAGAATTATAAGTTGAATAACTATCAAAAGGTTATTTTAAAACTTTCCTTTTACATGACTATAAGAAGTTGGGCAGTATGAGCATTTTAAAGTTGAGCATAGCTTGAGTAATGGGCATACAGTTATCTTTGTCTGCATATCAAAATCTCAGCAATAACTGGCTTTTTCTAATATTCCTGTTATGAAGGCTTACATTTTTGTTTCAACTAGATGTAGAAGGGGTCTAAAGGATATTATATTCATATTATGATACAACTATTTTTCTTCTGTTCTTGCCCCAAACAGTGATCATCATGTACATATTATGACATCAGTTACTAAAAAACACCTTTGTGGCTAAAATCATGTGCTGACTTTTATTGCTATCAAGGAATATTACATTCAGAAGAAAAAAGGGGTACTTCATTTCCAGATGTTGCTGCATTCACTCTATTATAAAAATAAAGGGCTCTTACCTCCAAGCGTATTGATATATCAAGTAATAAATGTGACAGTTACTGGTTCTATTTCCCTTATCCAGTCTCCCTGCACAACTGCAACGTAACATGTTTCTTACTAGTAACAGATGCTGGAAACCTTCCTTTGAAATTCCTCTGGAGAAGCTGCCCTGTTGATTGCATTAGACAGGAAGTGGCTTCATGCAGATGTCTACTTGCTGGTGCATTGTTGTAATTGCTGTTCTGCTGACCCCTTGCTGAGTGCCATACTTTTCTCTTGTAGGTGATGTGCCTTCAGGACTTTTTTGGTGACGATGACATTTTTATTGCATGTGGACCAGAGAAGTTCCGTTACCAGGATGATTTCTTGCTAGATGAAAGTGGTAAGGAAAAATAAAAGTTCAAAACCAGGGGAAATTTGAGGCAGCTTTCCAAAATGAGCTGTGCCAGGCCAAGATTATGTCAACTCTAAAGCTACCAAATCAGTTTCAGATCCTCACCCAGTATGTCTTTTTCATAACTTGAATTTCTTTGATTTTTTAAATATAGAAAACAGATGAAATGATAATTGGAAAGGTTAAATCATTTGGAAGGGAAAATTACCAAGGGCTAATTTATAACAATTTAGTAACTAAATTGATTTCTATAAAAATCATGGTGTGGATTTCTACATTTCTAATTGTATATTTTCCTCAAAATTTATACTTGAGAGATTTATAATCATAAAATTATTGAGTATGTTTCTAGGCTCAGCTTTCAGGTGACCTCCTGTAGTTCCTAACTGGAAAGTGACTTGGTGTCCCTTTTCTTTTAAATACTTCAGAATTTGATGTTATCACCATCTGTGAAGGATCAAAAAAGAGCAGTGTAGCTTCCTTCCATTAAAAATGAAATGTAAAAAAGGGACAATTGATAAACAGGGAAAGACACATCTTAGAAAATGAATATCAAAGGTTGTGACTCAAGAATGATGTTTTTATAATACTATAAATCATCTCAGAATCTTGACAGCATCTTGGGAAAAGTTATTAAAGAGGTCTTCCCATGAAAATATTACTTCTAATTTAATTAGGGAAATATTACATACTTATTGACAATTCAAATTCTAGCTAGTTGGAAATGATTTTTGAAGTGAATGAATTTTTGCCTAGGTAAATGCAGATAAAACAAATTAGTGAGCTTTTGGCAAAGTGGATGGGAAATATTTGAGCACCAACATAATAGGATGAGTGATGTAACATAATATTTTGGCTTTAACACTGCTGATGCGTATTCACATAAAGTATCTATATTATATGCATATATACATATCAGTTACACGCATTTGAACATACTAAAATTATTTCATCATTTAAAAATGACTTAGAGTGTG